GGTTCTGCGCGCCTTGCGTCCCACGGTCGCCCCTCTCTGGCCCGCACTGTGACCCGCCGGCGTCCTCCGGCATCCCGAGCCCCACAGCACCCTCTCTCACTCCGAGACTGCCCTCTCCAAGCTATGGCAGCAGTGCTTCCACCTCTCCGAAGCGTTGCGTAGCCAGCCTCCGCTCGAGTCCTTGGGACGTTTCCGTGGCAATTTTTGCAGACCTTCCCGTACTGAAAGACAGCTCCCACGTGCTCACCGTCCTGTCTGCAAGCCTGTCCGTTTTCTTCTGATATGGTCTATAAAGTCACTGCAGGCTTCTAGCACTAGTGACAGCCCATTCTCTTGTAAGACCGTGTGCTCCCTACAAATGCAGAACAGAATAATTTATCACTTAATTATGGCATTCTTCACTGCCATCCTCCTGCCATCACTTCTATGATGTCGTGTTTCCAGCACTCTCAGAAAAACCACAAGAATGTAGCCACTTACCTAGATACTGCTAAAGCCCAACCTGCAGTCCTCAACATCCAAAATTTCTGTTCCTTTTATTTTTATTTTTTTTTTTCCCTTCCTCTCCACAATCCTGGCTAGTTTAGAGATTATTCTCTAAACTTAAAGACATGCTTCGTAACTCTGTGTCATTACATCCCACATATGCCAATTTAAGCAACTGAAAATGAAAAGGCGCCCTTTATTCCTCTTTCTATTCTTTCCCTATATCTTCAATTCCCCTGTAGCCTGTTAGGCGTCCTGCACCCTTCTAGAGACCTCTGGGAACTCTAAGGTTCTGCAAAGCCACTATATACCCCTTCCTCTGCAAATACTCAGTAACTTTAGTGATGTAATGAACTTGCTAAATTGGCTAATAGATGCATAAACTGAGACAGGAAGAAGTGCTGTCTTACATCCTTTGTCAAATGCCACAGTAGTGCCCAGTCTAGCAAGACCCCAGTCTGTCTTGATGCAAACATAATTAACAGTTGCTAAAATAAGTTTGCTGAAGTCCTCTCATAGCCCTTGATAACCTTCATAAAGCTCTTTTAACCCTCTAGCTTTCTATATAGTGTGTCCACATTCTGGGAATGTTGTGATTAAGGACTAATGTTTAAATTAGATGTGGTATTTAGCTAAAATAGCCTTTGTAGGACTATTTGGTATGGTAGCAAGCAATATGAATGCTCATTCAAGTAACTTGTTGGATTTATAATCTCTGGTGGTTACTTAGGACAATATTCTAATACTGTGTTTTTTAAATTAATGTGTATTTTTTATTTTAGTTTAGTTACAAAACATAGTATAATTTGCCAGGTAATCCACTGTATTTTATTAGTAATGTCAAAAAATGAAGTCACTTGTATTCAACAGCTAAACAGTAAATTGTGCATAGGAACTAAAACTGTATGCAGGTACATTTGTACAATTTTTCATGGGCTTTGTGCACTGAATTATCAAGTGCCCTGTTAGTACTGTAAAAATGTGCCTCCAATAAGATAAACTTGTAACACAGTTTAATTTTTTTAGGTATCTAAAGGAATTTAGGACAGAGCAGTGCCCCCTATTTTTGCAGCACAAGTGTACCCAGCACAGACCATTTACCTGTTTTCATTGGCATTTCCTAAATCAGCGTCGTCGTAGACCTATACGAAGGCGTGATGGGACTTTTAACTACAGTCCAGATGTTTATTGTACAAAATATGATGAGACTACAGGAATCTGCCCAGATGGAGATGAGTAAGTGATTTCTTTCAGTCCTAGGTGTTTATAGTATTACCAGTGACATTAAGGAAAGATGCTAATTTCTCCTTAGCGAAAATGATCGGTAGAATACTGCTGCAGTTTATTTGAAAACAGATTTCTGTAAGTGATTTGTCAATTTTTGGCACATACACTTTTATATAAGCATGTATTCTTTAGGCTATCATAGCGTTAGAACTATGATTTTGCATTGTGGTATTTTTAAAGCATAATGTAAGAAACTGGTTTTCTGCTAGTTCCTGCAAATTTGTGCTAGTATTGTTGCTGCACCTTTTTTTTTTTTTTTTTTAAGTTGTGCTTCCTTTTTTTCTGGGCAGCTATGAAATTGACCAGTAAGTGCAAACTGGACTATATAGAGGTGGCCTCAAGAATTTAAACTTCTGTAAGTTTTGTGAAGATTGATGGGTAGTAGAGGAGAATGACTCCTGTGTTTCTTCCAATGAGAAAAAGCAAAGGAAAGAGTTCAGTGTTAGTTGTCTGGCTAGCCTGCTAGTGTTTGCATTTCCTTGGACATGTGTCTCTTCTAGATTAAGGCTACAGAGGGTCTCCATTGAGCTTGAGGAGGTGTAGAAGCTTTGTGGAGATGAGAATGAGCACATGGTACAGTATGGCACGCAGGCATATGTAGAGGAGCTGGATATATTGAGGTCATATGTCAGAGTAGCTACCTTTATCTGCAGTAATGGAAGCAAGGAAGGACTTCTGACAAAAAAAAAATTGCAGGAAAACAGCCAGAGGTAGTTATGCTCGTTACCTGTTTTAAAAATTGAAGTTTAATTATTTTGGTTACTGTAGTGTATAGTGGCAGTTGTCAGGGATCAGCTATCTCTTGTGCTGCAGGCTGTGGTCACAGAAGAAAAAGGTGGATTTTTTCCCATAGGCTTTACAAGCTAAACGACAGAGATAAGAGAAGGTGAACAACAAAACTACGCTAGGCAGCATGGCAATATTGAGTCCTATGCCTAAGCAATATAAACAGCAAAAAATGTCTCTAAAAGAGAACAATTAATTAGTTTTTCAGGTGTTTGTAAAGCACTCCTGCCAATCCTGGGGCAGCATGGGCAGTTCTTTGAAAGTCAAAAAATGAGGATAATGGATGCTCGTGTCCTGGATTGGTGGGGAAAAAAAAAAAACAACCTTTCGTTATTGAGTGATAGATACTGATTCTAAAGGAGGAAAAAGGAAGCAATGTTTTAGAAGGGTATTAGCTGGGCACGACTGAATTGTTAGAAGCAAATAAGAGGAGGTGTTTCAGTAACTGAGATGTGAGATGGAAATCTTTTTGCTGCAATTGGATTGGAAAGGTTGTCCCCTACAGTTGCTGAAGATTACTGTGTGGTTAGGAGCCTAAATGACACAGCTATTATGTTGTCTGGCATAATGGAAATGCAGAGGACTTGCCAGAAATAAGACCAGTAGTGAGATTCATACCTGTTTTAGCATGTCGTGCTTACAGTTTGAATTAAATGGATAGGTTTAGGAGTTATCAGCAAAGAGGTGATGGTTTTCAAGTTGTGTTTTGCAGTGAAATTGCCCAGATGTAGAAGGATAAGAGCAGGGACCAAGGTTGGAGTCCTGTTCACAGAGGCACAAGAGAATGATGAAGCTGGAAGATGTGCTGCAGGAGGGATTGAGAGGAAATTGTGAACATAACTGAATTCCAAAAAACAAAAGGGAACAATGTTTCAAGGGGAGAAAAATTGAGTAAAGCAGACCGTAAATTAAGAAAATAAAGATGAATGTGAGTAGAGAAACTGTTTCTCTGTTTTCTTTGACTCAGTTACAAGGTGAGATTATTGGAGACATTTGTGAGAGAAGTTTTATCTGAACTGTGAAGGCCTTATTTTAGATGTGATCTTAAGAACTCGTGGCTAGAAATGGCAATCAACTGTTGTCAGTTGGTAGCTGATTGAAGTTAAGGTAGAAGAGAAAAAGCATACAAGGCCAATAGTTGGGAAAGGCAAGTGAAGTCAAAGGTAACTTTCTTAAAGACAGACGATGCCAGGGCATGTCTGTAGTGAGAAAAATGGAGGAAAACACCAACATTTCTGAGGACATGCTTAGAGTGTGCCAGCATTCCTGTTTCAGAACTCAGCAAAAGAGTATTTTTTTGACCCTGTTTTCTCTTCTGCCTAAAATTTATCCTTTTATCTGGAGCAACTTCAAGTTCTTGTAGAAACAGATTATAAACAGTAGTGCCAGGACACCTTCATTTATAAGCTATATGTGACAATGTACTCTTTTGGCTTTTATCTATGTCTCTGTTTCTTTGTTCTGCTCATCTGAATACACAGTTAGGTTAATGCAGTTTGCGAGTTGATAGAGAACTAGCAAGAAAGGTAGAGTGATGACACCTATAAGCATTCTCAGGAACATACTTTCAAGAGAGTTGAAGTAGAAATTGTTGGTTTCACCCCGGCTTGACTGTGATAGTTCTTTCCAAAGGTCAACTTGGAATGAAAGAAAGTCCAGCATTTTAAAGCTGTTTAGAAAAGGGCTTTTCTAAGGGTAGCAAATCATAGAATCATAGAATCATTTTGGTTGGAAAAGACCTTTAAGAGACCTTTAAGATTGTCAGGTCCAACCATTCTCCTGTCACCACCAAGACCACCGCTAGACCATGTCCCTAAGCACCACGTCTATATGTCTTTTGAACACCTTCAGGGATGGTGACTCCACCACCTCCCTGGGCAGCCTGTTCCAATGTCTAACCACTCCTTCGGTATATAAATTTTTCCCAGTATCCAATCTAAATCTCCCCTGGTGCAACTTGAGGCCGTTACCTCTTGTCTTGTCATTAGTTACTTGGGAGAACTACAACTTCCTTTTAGGTAGTTCTAGAGAGCAATAAGGTCTCCTTTCAGCCTCCTCTTCACTAGTAAACAATCCCAGTTCCCTCGGGTGCTTCTCCTAAGACATGTTTTCCAGACCCCTCATCAGCTTGAAGATGAAAACAGTCTGTTCTAAGGAAGGGCCTGTGAGAAAGACTAGATTACTTACAGATTTAGAGGCATGTATTTCGAGCTGTGAATAGTGTTCTTCCAATTTCATAAGTGAGGATAGAAGTGATACTTTTTTTTTTTTTTTAAATCTGATGTGGTTTTCAACCATTGTAGTCAACCGATGTCAGATTGTAAAAGAGAAGATTATTTTGGCTATGTTAGTATCGGTAACGTAAGACTGCTCTGAGTGAATTACAGAAAAGCACTTCAGGTAATCATAGGAAAAAATATGTTGGTGCCTCAAGAATCTTGAGAACAGAAGTAGAGCTATGTAATTGTTTTCACACACTTAACATCTAGCGTTGCTCTTTAAACTGGAACTGTTTCATTCTTAAAGGTTATCTTTGGAATGTTTATGACATGAATTAAGAGCGTGAAAAGGAAATACATATTTCAGTAATCAGTTAACATTTAAAGTTTTTGTGAATGTTGCTTACTTTGAATAACATAATGATAGTTTTAATTTGTGAGATCCCAATGCAGAAACAAATCTGATTTCAATAGTTAAATGTTGTGTGTAGACTCCAATAGAACTTAAAAATGCAGAGTAATGTCTACTGATTTGCAATTACTAAGTTAGGATTCAGTATAGTTATTTTAAGCTGGGAGATGGCTGTAGAAATATGGGCCGTGAAATAACTTTGTTATTCTGCCTGGGAACAGCTTTTTTTTTTTTTTTTTTTCCCTTCATAAAAATGTTGTTCCTAAGGAATAAGTGATGTCTGAACAACCTAACTACCAAACTATGATACATAACAAGTTTATCAGTTTGCAGCCGTGTAATCCGATGATAATTAAAATCAGCCATTTTAATTCGAAGTAGTAGTCTTGTTTAAAGCTATGTACAATGGTTTATGCTCCATTAAAATATTCCATTAATAAAGTGAAGGTAAGATCTAACATCCCTCTGGTTCATTGAAGGCTGAGTTGAACATCTGTTCTGTGCATATTTCAGTGCATTGTTTTGGCTTGGTACTATGTGTAAGTACTATGTACCATTTAGAAGCTGCTTTTATTAGGGGTTTTTGCCTTCTGACTAATCCTACAATGAGCTACAGCTGATCAAGATGCCTGTGGTTAATAGCATATGTTTTATTGAGGTATTGTATGAATAACGCATTTTTATGTAAAACATACACATGCAAAATTGATGCCATCATTTCTGCTCTTTGAGGTTTGCGTGCTGTTTAGTCCCCCTGAGTCACCTTTAGAACTAGCCCCTGTTTAGTTTTTTACAAGTCTTAAGACAAAATTCAGGTAACAAACTGTCCTGGTTATACTGGGTAGCCTCATTAAAGCATTCTGTTAGTTTCTGGAGGGGGACTTCACCTTTTATGAGACTCTTTATGCAGCTAGCAAAATGTGCAGTAGGAAAGCTTCATTTTCAACAAAATTCAGATTTCATTAGCTATTGATGGCACAAGTATTAAGACAAACAAACCTAGGTTTAGTTTAGCAGAGATAAGAGTCTTGTTACACGGTTTGTATTTCTTTCCCAGCTTGTTTTTGGAATCCATGTTGTCTTTTTGTGCGAAAAAATGTGAGCTGAGTATTTCTCTTTCTCTCACATTGCATACAAGTTGTGCCTAGGTTGTCTGACAAGCTATGCCTGTGTTCCATTGAATTATCTTTTTTCTTTTTTTTTAACAGTAATTTAAAAATAATTGAAGGCTTTAACATTCTTTTTTGGGGACCTCTACTGCTAAGGCGATTTTGCTAGGGAAAAACTGCAGATGTTTAAGCAAGAATGTTTGCCCTCTGATAAGGAACCATGGACGTAGAGACAAGCAATGAGATGTAAACACCTGTACACTTCTTGCATGGAAGATAAGATATTTAATTCTTGTTTCCAACAGGAACAAGCGATGAAAATGGAGGAATGAACATTATGCATAAGAGTATGACAGGGTATTCTCATCTTTGTGAAGTGTGCATACATGAGTGAAAGGTTAGGGTTTGTAACGAACAGTCTGTTAGGGAAATGCAAACATTTGACTCCTGCAAAGATTCTGCTAGTGGTGGGACAGTTAACAATAACAATAGCCTCAGATTGCTGACAAAAAGTATCTGATTGTCTCTTGTGGGTTTTCTCATTTTTCCATATCAGTCACAGTTCTAGCAGAACAGAAGGGCTGCATCAGTGCGATTCACACGTCACAAAGAATTTCTCACAAAGTTCAGCTGAGGCAGTATAATGGGTCCAACAAAGACTGCATCCCATCTGTCTTTCCGTGTAGAGCCAAGAAGTGTGAAAAAACTACTTTCAGATTCTAAGTATGGACTGTGCTCCATCTTACACAAACGAAATGAGATGTAGCACAGAATTTGGTATACCTAGTCTTCCCACTGATTAATTCTCTTGGGATTTAAAGAGATAGGTACAAATTACTAGCTGCAGCCCATTTATCTGATTTAACAGAATGCTGGTTTTAAATTCCTACGAAGAAGTAACTTGATTCTCAGAAATTGTAAACAGTACCAGTTCGTGGAAGTCAGCAGAAGCTGCAGGTGTTTAGCCCAGCAGGAAAAATGTATGATTTTGATGTAAATGTATAAATACCAGACTTGCAAATGTTTGCAAACAATTGCATTTGTTTAGTCTAGTTTCTAAATAACCCTTTTAGAATATAATAAGTAAAGCTTAAGCCAGCATAAATTCTTATGAGTGTTAAAATCTACTTAGTCCTTCACTATTCTCCCTCCATTCAAAGTAAAATATTTCTGTGGGACTTTTCATATGTTATTCTGTATTACTCTCTAAGCTTTTTTGTGCAGTTTCTTTTTACTGTGGGGTCGGGACAAGTAGTTTTTGGAGATTAGTATTTTTTCAAAGCCAGCAGAGACTGAAATTAGTTACACTGAAATAAACTGAGAGAGAACAGACATCCCTGTGTATATATTTTCGTGTGTTTTTTTTTTTTTTAAATTTGTTTGCTATTTCTAGTTGGAAGTATAATCCATACATGATGCTAGCCATTTTAAAGTACAGACTGTAACTCACATAGTTGTATCTGAAAAATGGTTAGTATACATACAAAGATGTGCTGCTGTTGTAAAAGTAGTTGTCTTCCTTTTAATAGAAATTTTAGATTTCCCCTGAGATTGTTCAGTAAGTTCCATGTCTATAAAGAGCAGGCAGGAAAAAAAAATCACCATGCCTCAAGTACTCCTTGCTTTTAGATGACGATAACATAAAAAACCAAAAAACATTCTTCTACCTCTTAGTGTAGAAAAGATTATTTGAGCTTGTATCAGTATGGAAGATGTCATTCCTTAGCTCAGATGAAGTTGTTGCTCAGAGGGGTGCGTACTAGATTTATTAATAATATCTTTGTGAGCCAGCCTGCTATAAATTCTTGTAACTTTAGCAAAGACTAAGAAATAGATTAGTGTTTTTCATTTCGAAGCTGATCTGTGATGGTGGTTTGTTTGGGACAATTTTTATTTGAAGAATCCTGCAAAGTTACTTGTTATAAGTTAGTAAGAGATACGGCATAATTCAAAATTAAATTATTAAAACCAAAACTCAAGGCAATGCTCTAACTTTCCCCTTTCTATTATGTAGTTGCCCTTACCTGCATCGAACAACAGGGGATACAGAAAGGAAGTATCATCTCAGATATTACAAGACTGGAACATGCATTCATGAAACAGATGCCCGGGGTCACTGTGTGAAGAATGGAATTCACTGTGCCTTTGCTCATGGTCCACATGACCTTAGACCACCAGTATATGATATAAGGTAGTCTTGTTTCACGTTCTTCAGCCCAAATAGCAGGAAATACTGCGTCTCTTATCACCATGTACCAGAAAATGCAGTACGCTTTGCATGAAAAATATACCTTCTTCTGTGACTGTAAATGTAAGAATGCAATTCAGTGTGCATCATGTTAGCAGATAGAAGCACACTGGGAAATGCAAATACTAAGGTTTTGTAACTTGCACTTTCAAGAGCCATATATGTAATTCTTATGACTGGTAAAAGACCGGATACTCTGCCTTTTGTCATTTATGCCTTGTAAATTTGAATGTGGCTTTTATATTCACAAATTTATGATTTTGTTAAGCCGTCTTTCAGGTTCACAGCTTGTATGATTGACATTTTGCCTACTGACATTGCATTTTTTTTAAATTACATTTTATTTTTTCATGTAGAAGATATCAGTATTATTTTCTGCCTCTCTAATGTATAGTCAAGTTATTGTTGAAAGAAGGTGTTTTGTGAGTCAGGGTAGCAGTAGGTATGAGTTTCAGCTGTGGCAAAAGCTGGGAGATAAGCGTGTTGATGGGCAGTATTTTAAATGGGTGGAAGGGGAGCTCTTGCTACAGGAAGTGGTCTGTGTATACTCAGTACGAAAGGATACCAATTCCTAGAGAGCTTTGAACACTTGGAGGGTCACAAGTATCTCTTAGAGGACACTGAAAGAGCGTTCTGGGGAAGTATCACCATACGCTTGCCCTGTTCTTATACTCTTCCCTAGGCATCTGCTGTTGGCCGCTGTTGGAGACAGAATTCCAGGCTAGGTGAACCTTTGATCTGAGCTGGTATGGCTGCTATCTTACATTCTTACCTTTGTTATCCCTTGTTCCCAACCATAGAATCATAGAATCATTTTGGTTGATAAAGGCCTTTAAGATCATCAAGTCCAACCATTATCCTAAAACTACCAAGCCCACCACTAAACCATGTCCCTAAGCACCACGTCTATATGAACCACGTCTTTTGAACACCTTCAGGGGTGGTGACTCCACGACCTCCCTAGGCAGCCTGTTCCAATGTCTAACCACTCTTTCAGTAAAGAAATTTTTCCCAGTATCCAATCTGAATCTCGTCTGGCACAACTTGAGGCCGTTACCTCTTGCCATTTTATTTACTTGGGAGAAGAGACCAACACTGGCCTCATTACAACTTCCTTTTGGGTAGTTCTAGAGAGCAATAAGGTCTCCTTTCAGCCTCCTCTTCACTAGTAAACAATCCCAGTTCCCTCGGGTGCTTCTCCTAAGACATGTTTTCCAGACCCCTCACCAGCTTTGTTGCCCTTCTCTGGACCCGCTCCAGCACCTCACCGTCTTTCTTCTACTCTGGCGCCCAAAACTGCGCACAGTACTCAAGGTGGGGTCTCACCAGTGCTGAGTACAGGGGCACAATCACTTCCCTACTCCTGCTGCTCATGCTATTTCTGATACAGGCCAGGATGCTGTTGGCCTTCTTAGCCACCTGGGCACACTGCTGGCTTGTGTTCAGCTGGCTGTCAACCAGTGCCTCCAGATCCTTTTCTGCCAGGCAGCTTTCCAGCCACTCATCCCCAAGCCTGTAGCGCTGCACGGGGTTGTTGTGACCGAAGTGCAGGACCCGGTACATGGCATTGTTAAACTTCATGCAATTGGCCTCAGCCCATCGATCCAGCCTGTCCAGATCCCTCTGCAGAGCCTCTCAACCCTCAGGCAGATCAACAGTCCCGCTTAATTTCGTGTCATCTGCAAACTTACTGAGGATGTGCTCAATCCCCTCATCTAGGTCATTGATAAAGATATTAAACAAGACCAGCCCTGATACTGAGCCCTGGGGAACACCACTTGTTACCAGTTGCCAACTGGATTTAACTCCATTTACCAAAACTCTCTGGGCTTGGCCATGCAGCCAGTTTCTACCCCAGCGAAGAGTACCCCTGTCTAAGCCATGAGCCGCCAGCTTGTCCAGTAGGATGCTCTGGGAGACTGTGTCAAATGCTTTACTGAAGTCCAGGTAGACAACATCCACAGTTTTTCCCCCATCCACTAGGCGGGTCACCTGATCATTGAAGGAGATCAGGTTGGTCAAACAGGACCTGCCTTTCATGAACCCATGCTGGCTGGGCTTGATTCCCTGGATGTCCTGCACTTACTGTGTGAGCGCACCCAAGATGAACTGCTCCATAATCTTGCCTGGTACTGAGGTCAGGCTGACAGGTCTGTAGTTCCCCAGATCCTCCTTCCGGCCCTTCTTGTAGATGGGCGTCACATTGGCAAGCCTCCGGTCTTCCGGGACCTCTCCCGTTAACCAGGATTGCTGATAAATGATGGACAGTGGCTTGGCCCCCATCCCCCTCAGCGCTCTCGGGTGGATCTCATCTGACCCATAGACTTGTGAGTGTCCAATTGGCAGAGCAGGTCATTAACTACTCCTTCTTGGATTTATGACAGAATCCTCCTGGTCTCAGTCCCTGTCCTCCTGCTCAGGGGACTGATTACCTTGAGGATAACTAGTCTGACTATTAAAGACTGAGGCAAAGAAGGCAGTAAGTATCTCAGGCTCTTCCCCATGCTTGGGGACAACGTTTCCCCTCACATCCAATACAGGATGGAGATTCTCCCTGGCTCTTTTTTTTTGTTGTTAATGTATTTGCGAAAACACTTTTTATTATCTCTTGCAACAGTGGCCTGACTGACTTCTAGCTGAGCTTTTGCCTTCCTAATGTGCTTTCTATATGATCTAACTAAATCCCTGAACTCTTCTTGAGTAGCCTGCCGCTTCTTCCAGAGGTGGTAGCAAAAGCTCCCTGTTCAGCCAGGCCGGTCGTTTCCCCTGCCAGTTTGTCTTACAGCACATGGGGACAGCCTGCTCCTGTGTCTTGTAAGACTTCCTTCTTGAAAAATGTCCAGTCTTCCTGGACCCATTTGCCCTTTAAGACTGACTCCCAAGGGACTTTCTCAACCGGTGTCCTAAACAGATCAATGTCTGCCCTTCAGAATGCCATGGTAGTGGTCTTGCTGCCCCTCCTCCTTACTTCATCAAAAATTGAAAACTCTTATCGTTTCGTGGTCGCTAAGCCCAAGATGGCCTCTGACCACCACATCACCCACCCACTTTTCTCTGTTAGTAAAGAGGAGGTCTAGCGAGGCATCTCCCCTGGCGGGCTCACTTACCAGCTGGGTCAGGAAGTTACCTTCCACACGCTTCAGGAACCTCCTGGACTGCTTCCTCTCTGCTGTGTTGTATTTCAAGCAGATGTGTGGTAAGTTGAATTCCCCATGAGAACAAGGGCTGGTGATTTCGAGGCTTCTGCCATCTGTTAGGACATGATAACTCTCTCTTCACAGTAGGTTTGGTAAAGTTAGTGCCTCTTCAGTAGTTTCCTAATTATTTAAATTCATGTTTTGCGACAGAATTCACTGCTGTATTGCCTGGTCACATACTGTTTACATATATGTAGCTTTTCTTTCCAGAAGATTTCTTCAGTTAGCTAGCTGATGCCTCTTCTTCTTTTTCACTTTCCTCATTTAGTGTATGCAGCATGGTGCCACATCAGTCTGAATACAGAACGCTTAGTGTAATCTTTTGTATTTTATTAGAATGAGGAACCGAGGTATAGCAAGACTGAAACCAATCTGTCTTCTCTAAACGTCTTTTAATTTGTTACATGATTGTTTATTGGTGGTTGGCTATGTATAGAGAACATCAGGAGGAGCTGAAGACATTTGTGATGGGAATCTATGTTTAAGGGCTTCAACCTACAGGTAGACTGCCTCACACTACTTTGTTGTTTGTGAAGAAGTCCTGTGCCATTGCTTCTCCTGATTTCAGGCATCCAGCATTCATAAGGAAGTCCAAACAATCAGGTCTTATTTTTTCTTTGGTGGTCTTTCTGCTCTACAATGGACACAGATATTAGGGTTTCTTAATTTTAAATAAAGAGGAGAGAAATAACAGTAGAATCACTGATGCAGATGTTAGCTTTATTCTCTTTAATAGTCTCGTTCTTCTACATATCCACCTTAAAGAAAAAGCACTCTCCAGAAACTAACTGTTGTCCTTCTCATTGCCTGCGCCTTTTCTGAATCTGTAAAAGAGATATTTTGACTGTTTGAAAGGTATTAGACTTGGCTTTGGATCTGTCTTGTCTTCCTTTCCCTTTGAGGTTTTTTTCCTTGGAGGATACTTGGGGTCTGGGAAGTTCTTAAAATGATAGGTAAATGATACCGTAACTAGCTACATTATGAATGACCACACCTTTCAAACTCCTCTTCAGAGATGTTGTGTAGGAGTGTTTTGGTATAGGAGATAAGCTCCTTGGATATTTGTGTCTAGAGAAAGTGCCAGTTGAAGGTAGAGGCCTTTGATTCCCTTACAGTACTATAGATCCACCTCTGGTATTTGATTCCTCACCTTGTTTCTGCTTTGCTTCAAAGTCTGCTAATATAATTATGCTGTAGAATCTTTTTTTTTTTAGAAAAAAAAATCTTTTGTACTGATGTGCCATCGTTGAATCTGTGTACAGTTTAATTTTACTAAAATTGTGTGATAAAATTGTCTCACATTTTAGATAGAGGTTTCATACCACTATTATAATACCTTTTAGTTTGGTAGTAGTCATTCTGATCTTTCAGCAAGCTTGTAGTTGCTTACTTGCAAAGGAGTTGTAAATTCTTGCAGGGGAGATTCCATTTCCTCATAATGACTGTTGTTTGTTACCAGGTCTCCCAAATGTCTTGACAACTTTTCTTGCAAAATCTTACAGTGAGCCTGAAGTGCTTTGGCTACTTTTATATGATGTAGTATTCAATAGCTGCCTTCAGTCCTAACTTTTCCATGGCAGAGTCTTGGGGTATTTAATTCTCCCTGATAGGGGAATTCTTCTGTATTTCTGATCGCCCTTATGGCCCTGTCTTTTTTTAGTTCTACCATGTCCTATGTGGCAGTGGAATATCAGAAATTAGTAGCATATTCAAAATGTCAGCACATCAGCGTACAGAGGTACAGATGGGTATTGGGTGGTAAAAACATTCTGTACATATTGCCAGCATTCATTCATGTATTCTCTTTGATTTGTATGACATGGTTATTCCTTACGATTGTTTGCAAGCTTCAGCACAAGTACGTGTTTGAAATACAGTCAATTTATTTTTTTTAAAAGTTTAGGCTTGTTAAGAGCTGGATTAAATGACAGAATTTTAATAGACTTGGACAGGGTTATACCTGTGACAGATAGGGTTCCTGCCGCTGTACAGTTTATCAGTGTTATTTTCTCTTCCCCATTCCAGAGAACTTCAGGCCCAGGAAACCTTACAGAATGGCCAGCTAGGATGCAGCGAAGGCATTCCAGATCTGCAACCAGGAATTTTAGCAAGCCAAGCAATGATTGAGAAGATCCTTAGTGAAGATCCAAGATGGCAGGGTAACGTTACCTGGTCTGCTTTCTCTGTTGTTTTATTGGTGTTTAATCCAGTTTGTTGATCCTGGGTCTTCGTCTGGGAGAAGTTCAGAAGCCTTTTTTAATGGAGTAAAGTTTGGTTTATATAAATAATATGGATACTTGTGAACAAGTTGTACCGTCTCTCACATTTATATTCAGATTGTGGTTTGAAAATGTTTTGTTTTGAAAATGTTTAGTAGGTCTTTTTCAGTTTACTTGATACAAATGTTGCTGATCTGTGTCAATTGAATAAATGTTCTTAAAAGTCAATAGGAGCTCTGTCTTGTGCTAAGTAGTAGCAATGATTAGAGTCTTCATTTTTTGAGTCATTACTAGTCTAGTTAACGAACCGTTAGTCTTTGCTGAGCTTGACTAACAGGAATGAGGTGCAATATTAAACAGAAAATTGGAGCAGGGTATTAAAATACAAGAATGTCTTGAAAGCATTATATTAGATCTCTTAAAGTAAATCATATTGCCCTAGTTTTCTTAAGGCTTTCAAAGTTGCTTCTCATGTTCTTGGTGTTCTTATGTAGCCAAAGATGTTAGTATCGATCAAATATTGTTAGAGCTCTTGCCCAAATTTTATTTTAGAAAAGACTGCTGGGTACAGGTACTTCCGTGAAATTCATGTGGGTACAGTAACACAGGAACAGGTCATATGAAGATGTTGTCTCTAAGGAATTCAAGGGGAAATAATTGTATGACACTTGTTCCCTCTATGTTTTTAAAATCTCCTATAGGGTGAGTTCCAACCATTTAAGTACTAGTAATGTGTAGAGCTTAATTGTCAGCTCTAGATCAAAAAATACTGGATATTTGATGTGAAGAGGCTGAAAAATTGACCAACTACAAGCACTTTTATTGCATTCCTTGCATTGTGACAGGCCTGTGTTATATAATGGTGTATGTCTTCTGTCAACCCCTGTAAATATGGTGAGGTTGCACGTAGTTTCTGGGGATTGAAAATCATCCAACTAGTGATTTCAGCTTTATTTTCCTAAGCCTTTAATGAAACTATTGAAAAGCCATGGAGAAAGAGTAGACTCTGTGTGATACTCTGTTTAATAATCTTTGCTATTTGAAAGTGTGTCATTAATGACTCTGAGAATGTTTCTTCAGCTAGTTTTCCACAAATCCTACAGGAGTCTTGTAGTATTGTGCAGTTTGTTTCTGAGAACAATCTCAGGCTAAAATGTTTGCTGAAGTCAGGATACATGACATTGACTGCTTCTGCTTTAGCTACCTCCATTTTCCCACCTTAGGAAGATGTTAGATTGGTTTGACATGATTTACTGTCAGAAAACCGTGCTTCCTGTCAGCTAAATTATACCTTCTAATTTATTTACTCACTCTGTTGTTTTCCTGAATTTTCCTGTTTCTAGACAGAACCTTGTTTGTCATCTCCTAGTTCCTTCTTTCTGGAGCCAGAGGTGTAGAGACAGAGGCAAAAGTAGAGAAGAGGCTATAGAAATTGTCCAGGAAGGTTTTACTGGACAGCCTTAACACGCCTTAACATGAAAGCAGTTTTGGTAAAATAAGGACTGTCGACACTAAACTTAAGAGAAATCCATATACAAAATTGTATAAATTTTTAGTGTTTGTCTTACTGAAATGAATAATATATTTTCAGGTATTTATTTTCAAGATGTTACATATATATGTCATGAGAATTTCCAGAGTTTCTCTCCCAATAGATGGGTAGTGCTTTATTTGTGTATTTTATTGTAATATTGCTGTTGAATATAAAAGCAATGAAGATGGCTTTGCATGTGAATGTGTTATACTTTTATTTTAAAAAATGCAGGAGTTTTAGTCTAAGTTTGTAAGAACGGAGTGGTTTGTGGATTATAATTTTTTTACAAAAAGCAGTGTGATACCTAAGCTCACTAAAGACACTCTGAATGCAAAAATTAGTTGTTTATTTCCCTTAATTGTTGACCTATTTACAGATGCAAATTTTGTATTAGCTGGCTACAAGACAGAACAATGTACCAAGCCACCCAGGCTCTGCCGCCAGGGCTATGCGTGTCCACACTATCACAATAGTCGAGATAGAAGACGAAATCCCAGAAAATTCAAATACAGGTACATAAACACATGTTAAGAGTGGACTTTTTGATCAGTCTGTTGTTAGTGGACTGATCTGCTTGGTTTCTTCTATAATGCAACGGGATATTCCTAATGGAATAAAAACACGTCTTTCCCGATAGCCTTGCTAAAATTTATCTGTTCAGAATGATCGGACAGTTCTGAAGACAAAAACTATGAAGCTGTAGTGGAAATGTCCTTCTTTCTTGTGAAGAATAAAAACTATTTCTATAATTATTAGGAAAAATAGGAATCACTAAGCCAAACCTTCTTTGCTGTGAAAAGATCAATTATAATGTCTGTCTTTTTTTTCTGGTTTTATTTTATAATTTTCCATTTCTGAGCAATATTTTTAGAATAAAAATTTAATGCATCTCGTCTCTTACTTTTTGTCGTTGCATCATTACATCATTTTACATCATTCTCATACACTGTGGTTTCCTCATTGGTTTTGGTGTTTTTTCGTGCAGTGGTACAAGGTTTTGAATTCATGGGCTTTGCTTGACAGTCTCAGGACTGTAGATAAATGTTGTTCGACATAAGTTAGACAGAATCCTACTAGCTCATCTTTCTGTCAAAGAATCTCCAAAAAGTCAGAGTCTCTCAGAATTTGCCACCTTATAGGTCCCAGAATCTAAGATTCTGAGATTTAGTGGGTAATTGTTTGAGACTTGCTAGGAAGTAGATACGAACATGCTCTGGACATCGCTTTTTTCTAGGTCTACTCCTTGCCCCAGTGTAAAACATGCAGATGAATGGGGTGAACCTTCGAGGTGTGAAAGTGGGGATAGCTGTCAATATTGTCATTCTCGTACAGAGCAGCAGTTTCACCCTGAGGTAAGAACTACATTTCTACTTATTTTTAGCAATTTCAGCTTTATTACGGATTAGATTATTGATTAAAGATATTATTTATGAAAAAAACATGTGACATTTCATTCAACACTTCCAGTCATTGAGGTAGCTGCTTAAGCAAAACAAAATTTACTAAGAAATAGTTGTTTGTACTGCTGTGGTTTTCGCTGATAGGCATTTTTAATATGCTACTAATGAAAAATTACTTATTATTCTCTGGATTTGGGCATAAATAGGTGGGTTCTCTTTTTTTACCTAACTTCTTGGATTGGTAGTGAAGTCACAGTAATTGCCACTCAGTGACTTTGGACAAATTTCTCTTTTAAGTATAGTTAAAAAAGCTTTATTGCAAATAGTTGAGAGAAACTGAATAGGTCAGGAGGAGGTGGAAAGAACAGAAAACTTTCCTAGTTGCTGAAGTAAGAATCTCCAGAAAAACAAGGTGATTTAAGTTCCTCTGTAGACAAAGTAATTTTAACTTTGTTGGGTGCTTGAGCGTAACAGTGAAATGCTAGGGAAGAGAGCAGTGCCGTGCAATCAGCTGAGTTATAATTCTTATGTGACTCAGTGAAAATATTAAATGTACCAGTTAATAGAAAGACATGTTATGCTAGAAGTTTCCTGTACAACATTGGATATCTGTTTTCGTTTTGAGACCTTTGAATGGACATGAAGAATTCACAGCAGGATGTAATTTCTTGCATTAGAAACTTCAGTACTTAATAAGATATAAGCAAAGACCATTTAAGCAATTGCGAATTTCTTTTCCAATTATGGAGGTTATTGAAGGCATCTCAAGACCATACTGGGAAAGGAATCCTGGCTCCAGGGTTGTTTCAAGCTTCATATCATACATTACCTATCATAAGTTGACCAGCTACGTCTTTATACTAAATAGGTGTCGGCTGTCTCTACTCTTGAGATGCTGCTCCAGGATTTCAATGTCCTGATTACGAGAGATTTTACAGTCCAGATTTATTTCAGATCATCTAATTTCTTCTGCATCATATTCCAGCCCTTTTCTGTAGTAAAGGTGTCTTCCTGCTTAGTATTGCTACCACACTTTTATTTATGACACAGCTACGAAGGAAAACGCTAAAATAAGTCACAAGGCTGAGCCTTGAGTTTCTACTACTAATTTTGTCTGCTGCCTTCCTCTTTCATACCACCCATTGTCATCTCTCCATTAGTCAATTTAACAGCAGATATGTAACATTGGTAACAGTCATATTTTCCATTGTCTTAATGAATCTTACCACATCCTTTGAGGTAAGTCCTTACTAGAATGCATTTCCATTTTAGAGAAGGACCTTTGATTTATTGCAGTTGTGTGGTGAGTCGACCATCATGTGCCTTTGCCAAATATACTTCTAATTTTATCCCATTTCTTTCTGTCTTTAATCTAGATGGTGACAGACAGAGAAATTAGTAGACATGCAGTGGCCTGAATCAGCAATTTTTACGCTTCTCAAACATATGTGGGCTATATTTTATATACCTTAGTTATATGTACTACTTCTGACGTGATGACTTTATTAAAAGTACTTGCTAACTGCATCTGTCTTATTTGCCATTTTTTTAAAAATTCTGACGTAACAATTACCTAATTCACTTCCTGTTCCTGAACTGATGATGATTTGCTTCCCATCAGCTGTAGTCACCTCAGTCTTTGTCTGCTTGTTTCCATTAGCTGTGCGGCCTCTGTTGTAATGTTGAATGTAATTCCTACTGATCATCAAGGCAGTTTGGTGCGGCTAGTGTTAGCACCTCACCTAGTTTTAGGTCTAGTATTTAATTTCACAGAAGCTAGCAACATGCCTGCACTGAAGGAGGAGTTTTCATTCAACATCATACCCTGTGATCCTTTCCCTCCTTTGCCCCAGCTCTGACTTCCATTCAGTTGTGTGCTTAGAATGGAAATTCCATACGGCTTTTGTACCTCTGACTTGAGGATTCAAAGCACTCATTCGGTTCATAATGTAATTTGGACTATTTAATGGTGGTAATCAGTTGCCTTCATTCCTCAGTTACTTGTTGGATGTCAGTCATGTTAGTTCAGCATTACCTTTTTATGTCTTAAGCTGAATTAATACTCAATTTATCCAATATTGTCTTCTCTTATTGGATATTTTCATGTACTCATTCTTTACTAAATTCAAATAAATAATATTGTCATTGCCTCTTGGCTCAGTGACTATTGTTTGAGGAAATCTCTTGGTTTCTGAATGGTCACATTCGGAAATTGCTTGATTCTGTTGTTAATAGATAGCAGCCATGTTCTTGTCTATGGCTGGGAAATTAATCTTCTGTAATGATTTAGTTCTTTGAATTCGCTGTCTGTCTTGTAATATTGTGCATGTGTAGATGACGTGGCCATCTTCAGAATCAGTCTCTGAGGTGCAAGCTCTGCCCCAGTTGTATTTTGATGTTACCTACATTATCACTTCTTGTATCTGTAGCATTTTCTAGAAGGCACTCCGCACCATCTGGGTAGCTCACAGGATCAGGAAGGCTATTTTTTTGGCTAGGACCTCAAACTAAGACCAAACTTCCAGTTGCATCTTTTGTTGAAACCATTTGGATGTCAGCTCTTCTCATTTTTTTCCTTCTGCACCATTAGCATCGAGTATACAGCATTAGGGTTTTATATTTAACCAATGAAGAGAGAATAGGAAAGAAAGGAGATGGGCTCAGCTTAATTTCCTAGTTGGGTGTGCTGTCCACACATGACTCCTTCATTTTTTGCGATGTCTGTGATAGCTCCCGGTGAAATTGGTGGAAAGACCAGTTCCACTGTTCTATTTGTTAAGCGTATCATTTGGGTGACTACTTGTCTACAGCATGGATGCTTTGTCACTTTTTCAGTGTTCAAGGAAAATTAAATTATTTGTAGAGTGATAAGCATCAGTAATAATTTTGTGATTTAGCATTTTACTATAGTTTCTTGGATGTTCTTTGAGTTATTCACGAGCTAGTAGTGAATATAGCAACTAAATTTTCAGCCTCAATTCAAAATCACTTAGGAGAGGGAAATTTATCTAAGATTCTTAAAATAGCTCTAAAATAAAGAGCTCACAGGACTAGTTGTTGATTTTTTTCAATACGTAGTTTCATTTTTCATGTTTGCTCTAAGGTGGGAGTCCAAGGTAAACATTTTTTTACACAGCATATGCAAAAGTGCCAAAGAAGTGGCATTCTGAACTAAGAATTAAAACTTATCGAGCCGTGAATCACTCAACTGATACTGAAGGCCAAAGACCACAGTACCAAGATTTGGGGAACCAAAAAGATCCCTCTGCTATTTGCCACAGACTTGCAAATCACCAGAATTAATTTTCTAAAGAATTTATGTGCTTTTAAGTAGGCTCTTAATGTTGTTCTAATATAATAGTATGTCAGTGCCTCCTCCCAGCCTTGTGAGATCCAAAGATGATCAAGATCCTGGTAGAGCAATAAGCTGCGTCTGGATCTTACTAGCAACATATATAATCATTACTGTCATGAACAGTCAGTATTGCTTCAATTCTTATGCACCCAGTCAAGTTACAGAAAGACAGTGGAATGTTAGGATGATTTGAACGTTAGAGACGTCCTAACAAAGGATCTGTGTTGAAAAAAACATATAGAGTTTCTGGTTTGGTTTGGTTTTTTTGGTTTTGATTTGTTTGTTTTGTTTTTTTTTTCAGCTGTGTAAGCTGCTCTACTATACACATCATTTGTCCTGCAAAATTTCTTAAAAGTGGTGTAAATTACTTTGAAAATTTTATCCCTAGTGTTTGACTTGTTTCTATATGACACGGAAAACCAAAGCAGTTTAAACACTGCTTTTCTAAAATATTATTGTTACTTACTATTTATTATTTTACAGAGGAAAGTTAAGATTCTCTTGGCTCAGGTTTTCTTTTCTTAAAATTCTGCTCTTCTATTTGATTTTTAAAAATCATCATAACTGAGTAAACTGTGTAATACATATTGTTAGTAAATATTCAGAATTTTTCATTTAAAGGTTTTAAGATTTTCTATTTTGTCATTTCATAACAAATATGTTTAGGTTAACCACCCTTCTGTTTTGTTTAGATATATAAATCTACAAAGTGCAATGACATGCGCCAAACAGGTTACTGCCCACGTGGTCCGTTTTGTGCGTTTGCACATGTTGAAAGTAAGTAAGAGAACTGTTATTTTGCGTCAGTGTTCATAGAAGTGAACCATCATTTCTAAGCATCAGTAACAGAAGTGATTTAACATCATTGATTTTAATGCATAAATGGCATTTGAGGTCACCTGTTTTTAGAAATTTATTCCGTGTTTTCTAATACTGTACATTGCTGTGGGAGCTTGCTGCATTTGCATCAAATTTGCATCAGCAGTAAAACAAGAGGTACTTTTCTTTACAAATGCAGCTTGTCCCTGTAACTTTTTGAACTTGATTTGGCAATTCTCTACACACACGCTTGACCTTTTAAAATACGTTAGCTGTCCTATGAAACCTGTAGTAAACTTCTGAGGTAAAAGTTAAACGTCCTTGCAAGTATTTGCAGAACTAGGGCCTTAGCTAAACTGAAAAAGAACACAGAGAAAATTGTCAGCTGTCCTCTTTCCTCCATAGTACACTTAACATCTTCACTGCACTCAAAGTGTTAAATACAGAAAAAGGGAAGAGGGACCTTTTTTTTTTCCAAGAGAGCACTCAACTATTTGGTATGCATCTACAGAGATTAATTCTTGTTATGCATCGTCAGATTCTTTTTAATAGCAGTGTCGACTTAGGTTATGACTACACTATTCCTGCACTCCAGAATGTGAAGTGTGCAGTTGCTGCAACCACTATTCATGCCTTCTCTTCAGTTGTGATGCAAGGCAGAACTTGAAGTGTTTCTATGTAACTGGTTTCTTACAGGTGATAAATATTTTCTTTTTTTGATTGTGCAGTTTTTGTTTGATTATATAAAGTAAAACCTCATATTTATTCTTAAAAAAACTAAAAAAAAAAAAAGGGTCTGCTCCTATCTTACTTTTGCCTTCTGCTTCTAGAGCTGGAAGGAGGGATGAGAGACCCTACCAATTCTGGAAAGCTCCGTATTTCTGCAATTCAGTAGTATTTATCTTATAATTCTCTAATGATAGGTAATGGCAGTCTCCTCTCTCTGTCTGACCTGTCTAGGCAAACGTGTTCTTTGCAACCATCTATTATGTCACTTGCTTACCTAAAAGACTTCCAGTGAATAGTCATTCTTGTTGCCCATAGCTCTTGTTTCTGAATCTGTGGTATGGTCAACTTGTCTTTTAACTTCTTCGGGATGATCAGTTTTACTTTTCTGTGGTTTTGTTACTCAATGAAGAGGAAGGATAAATAACTTGCTGTATTTATCTCAAGAAGGCCATTATTCTAAGACTTAGCAATTCTACAAAACATTATGGCAATGAAGTCAGTATTGACTGTTTCTTCACATCAAAAGTAGCTCACTGCCTTTGCTTTCATGTTGTTGGGGCTGTCTTCTAAATCAAGTCCTTCATTGTTTGCCAGTGTTGGCAAGTACTTCTTTGACTCAGGAAAGTCTGAAAATACACATTTTGTTACAGAAGTAATTTATGGCACTGGGTTTACTCATATAAGTTTTTTCTTCCTGAAACAGCTGAAAGAGTATGATTTAAACAAATTCACTGTGTACATGCAGCATGGTATAATTGTGTCATGCTACGAAACTCCTGTGGGAGAAGACTAATTTTTCTCTGTTTTCTTCCTTAGAGCACACTGAATGCTGCCTCCCTTCCTGCCTCTCTAGCATGGAGACTGTACAGGGTAAACTCAGCAGAGCTCTTGGAGATTGGAGTTCTTTTGAGATCCCATCATGATCTACTTCCGTGTGCCTTGATCATTAGTAGTCCAGTTGATGCTTGATTCCTATTAGAGGAATCATCTTGCAGGAGGCTCTCATTGACAATAAACCATCTCTAGGAAAAAGTTAAGCATTGCCCAGGCTAAAGATAAAGAGGGCTGAAGGAAAATCTGAATTTAACAATTTGCTGATGTTATTCTCCCTAAGGGCTATCTTTCTAATCTGTTGCTAATCCTTTTATCCCAGACCCGTTCTTTCTTCCACTCTGTAGGATGAATTCTTGTACTCTTTGAAATCTCCAGAACTCTGAGAGAATTTCTGAGACTTTGAACATGTTAGCAGTGCTAGTTGAGAAGCAGCAGCTTAATTTTCTCTACATAGTTGGATTAGACAGGATTTTATGTCCATCAGAAGAGACTTCTATGGCTCAACCGTATAAGCAGGAAATCTCAACAACTGAACTTGAAATCTTGCAACAGTACCCACCCCCTGTCTCTGGTAGTCTGAATAGTCCATCAGAAATTAGGTGTCTGGTTACTGTCAGCAAGAGTGCCTTTCTGCTGTTGGCAACAGCTTTAAGCTTAGTTCAGCAGCTCTGACATTCTGACTCCTATGTCTGTAGAATAAAATGGTTTCTGTCCCTTCCGTATTAGGGAAAGGGGAGAGAATGGTTTCAGAGCTGTAGATCTTATCATCAGTATGAAAGGCATTAAAATCTTGTTTCATGGATCTCTTTGAATTACAAATTATGGGTGCTCTCCACCTAACTTCAGTGAAGCCCTAGCTATATGGAATGGGTAGAGAAAGATTTTCCCCCATTCATATGTGTATCTCAGCATCTTTTATTGTGCTATGTGAAATAATTTGTGGAAGCACATGTTCTCTATAATAGCATTCCTGGTCTTCCCTCAATGATGACCTGAGAACCAGCTGACCATTTTTTTCCCTTTTCCCTCCTTTATGAAGATCATGAGGAATATTACTATTTGTCCAAGACAGCTCTTCCCTTGAGTCCCTGGCTGCAGACAGTATTGTCTTATAAATGTCACTCATTGTTTTTTTCCCTCCGCTGGCTGAAGCCCTAGGTCCAGTGTAGTTCCAAAGACACTTTGTGATGACAGAGGGAGAGCATCTGATCTCGAAAAGCGGAGCTGTAGTGGGATCTGACATGCCTCCCTGGTGCAAAATAGAGAGTAGCTAGGGTATGTTGGGACACTTCAGTAACAGACTCTTAAAATAAAGAGTACCTCTCTGTGACACTCATTTGTCCACTGACTGCCTGACTACAACTGGCATCTTGGCAAAAAGCAGGTTTTTTTTGAAACAGAAACACAGGCAGACTGAAATTCTGCTGATAAGAATTTGGAAACACTTCAAAGAACACGTCCTACAAGAAGGCTGGGGAGGGACTTTTTACAAGGGCCTGCAGTGACAGGACAAGGGGTAGTGGTTGGGAGCTCGGAGAGAGCAGGTTTAGACTAGATACAAGGAAGAAGTTCTTCACCCTGAGGGTGGTGAGACACTGGAACAGGTTGCCTGAGGAAGCTGTGGATGCTCCATCCCTGGAAGTGTTCAAGTCCAGGTTGGATGGAGCCTTGAGCAACCTGGTCTAGTGGGAGGTGTCCCTGCTGTGGCAGGGGGGTTGGAACTAGATGATCTTTGAGATCCCTTCCAACCCAAACCATTCTATGATTCTATGATCTCTGGTATAACAGCTTCTGTTACTGAAGGCATTTGCCTTCAGGTTGTTCATCCAAGACTGTTCTCTTCTATTGGTGCCAAGGTTGCAACAACAAAAACTTACTTCATGAAAGATGAGATTCCCCAGGCCAGACCTAGCCTGACCGTGGTAACTCTTGTGTTCATAATGCCTAAGCCTTGTTAATGCAAATTCTAAGGAGGCTATATAGGTGAAAAAGTTGTATCTATAGTAAAGAGTACCACCCTATGTCTACATAGCATCCTAGACTACTGATTCATAGAATCATCATAGAATCATAGAATGTGTTGGGTTGGAAGGGGCCTCTAAAGGTCATCTAGTCCAACCCCCCTACAATAAGCAGGGACATCTCTTTTTTTGCGCAGAGCCCCATCGAGCCTGAACTTGAATGTCTCCAGGGATGGGGCTTCCACTACGTCTCTGGGCGACTTGTTCCAGTGATCCACCACCCTCATATTAAAGAACTTTTTCCCAGTGTCCAACCTAAATTTACTCTTTTCTAGCTTAAAACCATTACCCCTCATCCTATTGCTACAAACACTTGTGAACTGTTCTACCCCTGCTTTCTTATAGGCTCCTTTCAGGTACTGGAAGGTCACTATAAGGTCCCCCTGGAGCCTGCTCTTCTCCAGGCTGAACAACTCCAACTCAGCCTGTTGCTCAGACCAGGTTGCTCAAGACTTCATCCAACCTGGACTTCTCCCCAGGGCTGCTCTCGATCCACTCATTGCCCAGCTTGTGTCTGTGCTTGGGGTTGCCTTGACCCAGGTGCAGGACCTTGCACTTGGCCTTCACAAGCTTGGCCTGGGCCCACCTCTCAAGCCTGTCCAGGTCTCTCTGGATGGCAGCCCTTCCCTCCAGCTTGTCAATCTCACCACACAACTTGGTGTCGTCGGCAAATTTGCTGAGGGTG